AAACCTCTCCAAAAAAAAAAAAAACACCTCACATTGCGTGTATGTGTGTGCCCAGGATTCCAGGAAGAGAATGGGAAGAGAATGGAAGAGAAGGGATTGCGGCACAACCACAGCCCCTGGGGGATGATTTCTCACTTTCCCTCTCACGGTCTCTGTTTCTCTCTCTGGGCACAAATGCACAGGCCTTAGGGCAAAAACCTCTTAATTAAAAAACAAGTTTCAGCTGCAGACGGAGCCCCCTCAGGTGATAATGCACCTTTGCTCCTGCTGTTTTCTATAAGACAAGCTCATAAACCAGCATCTCCGAGGACTCTCTCCTGCAGTGAAAGAGGCTGTTCACGATGCGGTTACGGCCACCCCAGGACACCTGTTCTAGCCGAGACTGCTTCCTTGGGTGGGGTAAATGTTAGCTACTGAAGCTTAAAAGAGAGCAAAGACAGCTTCGGCTTAATCCTAGGCACTAAGAGGCAGAGGTTAGCAGCCTACACAGTTTCATCTTCAGGGTTTCTTTTTGTGGGGGAGGGAAGTTTGGAGAGATTTTTGTTATGGGGGCGTGCGCTAGCCAGAGACAAAGAGAGACAGAGGGACAGAAAGAAATCACTCCGCAGGAGAGATGGCCACACCACAGTCCCTTCTCCTCCAGTCTCCCGTTGGGATCTTGGGCACGCACGCACACATGCCCAATGTGAGTTTTAGGCCGCTGAGTCTGCAACTTCAACTGCTGTTGACTACGTGGGAGTCCAGCAACGTAACCATTATGCCATGTGCTGGTCCCTTGGTTCTGAGTTTTAATATAATGTCGAGTTGGTTGCAGAAGCTGTTCTTTTTTTTTTTAAAGAATGATTTTTTTCGAGTGCCAGGTCTGACAGCTTGCTTTCTTACTTTCCCTCTCTCTCTCTCTCTCTCTCTGTCTCTCTCTGGTCAAATTAAAATAAAATGAATGAATAAATAAAATTAAAACAAATTCTTTTTTAAAAAAATTATTATTTTCTTCTTTAATTTTATCTATTTGTTTATTTTAATTTGACCAGAGTGAGCAAGAGAAAAGTGAGAAAGCACGCCACCAGGTCCAGGAGGAAACCCATGGCCGGCCACGTGGGAGCGTCCAGTGGCTTAACCACCACGCCACCTGCTGGTCTCCAAAGGGTGTACTTTTTTTTTGGAAAGGTTTTTGCTATAGGGTGTGTGTGCTCGCCAGAAAGCTAGAGACAGAGAGACAGAAAGCGAGAAATGACCTCCCGGGGGAATTGGCACACCGCAATCCATTCTCCTCTCGGGATCTTGGGCACGCACGCACACACTGCGGTCGACTACATGGGAGTCCTTTTTAAAGCTCCTCAAGTGATATTGATGAACAGGCAGGTTTGGGGACCTGGCCTAGAAGTCGATGTGCATTCGTTTGGGCCTAAAAGTTTCCACGTAGATCACAATGATGAAAGAAAGGGGTGACCTGGTGGTTCAGGGAGCCAGAGCCCACATGGCTGACTATACAGTTCGAACCCCAGGCCCGGTGGCTGGAGAAACATACTGAGCACGTGTGTGGGCACGCCTCAAATCCTGACGGGATGGAGAAATGGAGAAGGGTTCAGGGTGGTCACATCCGAAACCTCCCGTGGGGGATGCTTTCTCTCCACCTCTGGTGAGTGCATGTGCCTTCTGGCAAAATTACAAAAGAAAAAGGAGAAAGAAAGAAACCTGAGTATGGAGTGTTTACTGTGTCTCTGGTGCTCAATATTCATGCCATTGTTTCTATTCATTGTCGGGGGGTGCATACACTTGCTAGAGACAGAGAGAGAGAGGGAGAGAGCACCCCCCAATGGGGTGTGGGGTGTGGTCATGCCAAAATCCCTTCTCCTCCATTTCTTCATCCTCTTGGGATTTGTGGCGTGCATGTACACATGCCTGGCCCTGATTTTTCAAGCCACCAGAGCCAGGATTCCAACTGTGGTTGGCCAAACTGTGGATTCAAACTTTAACAACAAGGCCATGGGGCTCCCCCTATTATGTCATTTTGCATGGATACCGATACTCCAGTGTTCACAGTGTCCATACTGATCGGTCAGAACTCATACCATGGCGGTTATTAAATACGAAATTCCTGGGGCCAATAGCTGGCATGGTGGGTGGTTAAGGTGCTGGATTCCCACATGGCCAACCGTGGTTTGAGTCCTAGGCCTGACAGTTTGCTTTCTCCTTTCTCCCCCTCCCCCTGGTGAGCACATGTGCTCTGGAGTAAAATTAAAATAATCATGATAATAATAATAAAATTTTTAAAATAATTCTTCAAAAAATTTATTATGAAATTAATATCTAATTGTAAGAGAACAGACGTGAGCCTTGGAGAGATGAAACTCTTTGTCCCCAGTCAATAACTACTGAGGAGAAGGGCCTCAAGAGCTAACCACTGGCCCTCCCAGGCCTGAGATCGGAGGTGTCCCTTCCGGTCTGCTGTTTTGGGTGACCCCAGGATTCCATCAGGTGTTGGTGAACTTGTGAGAAGAAAGCCATGGAGTCCCTGGAAGAATTATCTGACATGAAAGAGGACAAGTCCCCTAAGCAACTCCAAAAGTCCCATTCCCTGCTCTGGAGGATCAAGGATATCCAGGCCTCTAAGACCCAAAACTACTTCACAGAGACCAAAAAGGTGGAGGCCATCTTGATCCAGGTGGCCTTTTCTGTCGGGCTGGGTAGCATGTGGCGTTTCCCCTACCTGTGTCACCTGAATGAAGGAGGTAAGGTCGCAGGCGATTCGGAGCGAGGTCCTGGACTGAGGGTCCTGGGGGAGGACGGAGCTTGGGCTGGGCACCCAGAATCCCGAGGGTCAAGGGGAGGGGCGCTCGCCCTGCGGCCCACGCGCAGCCGTCTCCCTCCCCTCAGGCGGCTTCATCCTCACGTACTTCCTGACGCTGCTCTTCCTCGGGGTCCCCCTCCTGTACATGGAGATGGTCATCGGGCAGTGGCTGCACATGGACAGCATCCGGGTCTGGAAGCACCTGGTCTCCTGGCTGGGTGGCGTGGGCTACGCCAGCATACTGGTAAGTGAGGGCCCTGCCCAGAGCCGGGCCAGCACCCGTGTGGTCTCCAGCCCCGGGTGTCCGCCCCCAGGTGTGCACCTTGGTAAGCTTGTACAACAGCACCCTCATCTCCTGGAGCTTCTCCTACCTGGTCAACTCCTTCTACCACCCGCTGCCCTGGAACCGCTGTCCGCTGCAGAACATCAGCGTCACTGGTGAGGAGCCAGCGGGCCAGCAGGGCCACAGGGAGGCACGGACGCCAAGGGCCAAGGGACGGGGGGTGGGGAGCCCCCGGGGGGAGAACGGGTGGGTACCAAGCGAGGTGGCCCTAAGGACCCGGATCCCCCCAGACTTCTCCTGCCTCCAGACTGTGTCCCACCAGCACTTCTGGTACCACAGCATCCTGCAGGCCTCGGGCCACATCGAGGAAGGGGTGGAGGTCCTCGTCCTGAGGCTGAGCCTGGGCGTCTTCGCCGCCTGGGTCTTCCTCTTCATGCTCATGGTCATCGGGATAAAGAGTCCCATGCCGGTGAGCCCCCGACGCGGCCGCCACCTTCCCCTCCACAACTGAAGGCTCGCGCTCTGCCCCGACGCCACCAGCCCTGCCTGTCGACTGCCCGTCTCCAACCCCCTGCTCTCCCACCCCCAGAGGATGGGCTCGGATGGGCCCCCCGTAGCTCATCTCCTTTGGGGCTCCCGAGGAAAGTGTCCTATTCATCCTGGGCGAGCCGCGACAGCTGCCCCGCTCACAGCGGGCTGCTCTCTCCCCTGGGTGACTTGGAGGGCCTTGTAGCCACCCAGCTCCTCTCCACACCCCTGGTCCCCACACCAATGCACAGAGGACCTCTGGTGACCTTTCAGGTTGGCCACGGCCTCAGCCCCGAGCCCCACTGCCTTCCCACATTTTGACAGGCCACGTTAGTCCCCAGTCCCCATTGAGAAGGTTCTGTTCCAATCCATACCTCCAGGCTGTCCCTCTGGGGCCTGGGTCGTGTTCCTTTTATATGGAAAATTTATTCAGAGGATTTATTTCTCTTCTTTTCTTTTCTCTCTCTCTTTCTTTCTTTCTTTGTTTTTTTTTTTTGAGAGATTTTTGATATAGGGCATATTCACTCACTGGAGAGACAGAGACAGAGAGACAGAAGGCGAAAAATCACCCCTCAGCAGGGATGGCCATGCCACAATCCTTTCTCCTCCCTTCTTCTCTTGGGATTTTTGGCACGTCCACACATGTGCCCAGTGTGAACTTTAAGCCACCGGGTCCAGAACTCGAACCACGGTCGGCTACGCAGAAGTCCAGTGACGTAACCATTCCGCCATCTGCTGGTCCCTTCCTTTTCTTTTAAAACGTATTTAATATTGTCCTCCATGAGTGAGAGACAGACCCACAGCACCAACAGGCTCGCAATGCGGTGACCCGCCCCCGCCCCCGCCGGTCGGATCGTGGGCGCGCGTGCCCCGGGACTCGGGCAGGTCTCGGACTTGACGTTTTCCTTCCCGTGGGGCCTTCCCTCGCAGAGCGTCGCACCGACTGTTTCCTTTCACCGTCTGCCCTCAGTGTTTATTAGACCACTTTGGCGACTGCCTGTATCTCCTGGTCCCTGCGTCCATGCAAGCTGTAACCTTTCACCTCCGACATCCCCAAAGTACAGCTCCCCCTCTTCACAGCCTCCAACAGAGACCACTCGTTACCAAAGGTTCAGTGGGGGCCCTGAGTGTGAGAGCAAAAAACTTAAGGCCCCCAGGCTCTTCCCAGTTTCTTTTATTTAAAAATTATTTATTTAATTTTTATTTATTCATTTGTTTAATTTGGCCAGAGAGCGACAGAGAAAAAGTGAGAAAGCAAGCCACCGGGTCTGGGACTCAAACCATGGTTGGCCACATGGGAGTGTCCAGTGCCTTAACTACCACACCACCTGCTGGACCCCTTTTCTAAGTTTCTTTTCTCTCCCCTTCATCTATGAACTTCTTCCACATGGTCTTCAGCCTCGCTGGCTCCTCTCCCCTTCACGGTCCCTGTCCCTAAACTCAGATGTAGGCCCTAAAACCAAGACCTATGAATTAACAGCGTCCACTTTCTTCACCATTAAAAGTCATCTCAGCTTGGGAACCAGCAGTTAGCGTAATGGCTATGTCGCTGGACTCCCACGTAGTTGACCACGGTTCGTGTCCCGGACCCGGTGGCTTAAAACTCACGCCGGGCGCGTGTGCGTGCGTGCCCAAGATCCTGAGAGGAGAATGGAGGAGAAGGGATTGCAGTGTGGCCATCCCCCCTGGGGGGTGATTTCTCACTTTCTGTCTCTATGTCTCTCTCTGTCTGTCTGGCGAGCGCACGTGCCCTACAGTGAAAATCTCTCCAACAAAAAAAGTCATCTCAGCTTGGAGTCTCACCTCCAAGCCCTTACTGATAGATTTATTTTTCCATACAACAGTATTGTCCCCCCCGATATTCCTCCTACGCCCCCCTCTGGGCCACCCTGACACAGCTCCCCCACCTCTCTGCTCCTGCCCACCCGCAGTCCCTGATAATGTTTCTGTGTCCTCTCCTCCTCTCTTCTCCTGGCTCCTGGTTTCTGTCCTGACCTCCTGGCCAGATGCTGATTTTCTCCATATTCCTCCCCTACATCCTCCTCCTCTGCCTCTTCATCCGAGGTCTCCTCCTAGAAGGGGCGGTCACCAGCCTCAGACGTATGGTGACCATAGAGGTGAGGCCGGGGACTCCAAGCCTTCCCCCTCCCTCAGCTCCCCAGGCCCTCCCCGAGTCTCCCTTCTCCACATCTAACCTCCTGCCCCCAACTTATCCTTCACCTCTGTGCCCTCCACCCCAACCTGCCCTGCTGCCAGGTCACTGTCGGCCCCACCCCTGTCCACAGGTCTCCACCTTAACCTCCCTGGACCTGTGGCGTCAGGCAGGAGGCCACGTGCTTTATTCGCTGGGCCTGGGTATGGGCACCATCGCCACCTTCCCCTCCTACAATACTGCAGGCAATGAGTGTGTCAAGATCGCCCTGTTTGTGGCCCTGGTCAGCCTGGTGACCTCGGTGCTGACCACATCCATCATCTTCCTAGTGCTGGGGTTCTGGGCCAGCAACAGCGGCCAGGCCTGTGTGGAGAAGTGAGTACTCACGGCCTCGGAGGTGCACGGGAGCCCCCCGACCTCGGCCGTCAGCCCGCCCCGTAAACCTGCACACTCAAGACCTCGCCGTGAAGCATAGTCATGCCACGTTATCCTCAGAGTACACAGGCAAGAAGGAAATAGGAACGCACACACCACTGTCCTAAACTGCAAATGGAGTCCGATCGCAAAAGCCCTTATTTAACTCAGGAGGAAGGCAGTTCCAGCCTTCTGAGCCAGCCAGTGGTTACTGACCCCGGCTGCAGATTTGAATCATTTGGGAAGCCTTAGAAAACGTGTTTGAGCCACTCCCAGAAATTCTGATGTACTTCCGGTGCATCCAGGCACTGAGGTGTTCCCAAAGCTCCACAGTGACCTTGTTCTCCCAGTTAGGGTGTCGAAGGGTGTCAGAGGGTGTCGAAGGATACAAAACTGTGTCCGTGGTATTGGCGATTTTTCTTTTTTTGAGAGAGAGATTTTTGCTATAGGGCACATGCACTCACTGGAGAGACAGACAGAAATGAGAAGTCACCTCCCAGGGAGGATGGCCATGCCACAATTCGTTCTCCTCTCAAGATTGTGGGCGGGCATGCACGCACATGCACCAGTGTGACTTTCAAGCTGCTGGGTCCAGGACTCGAGCCACGGTCAGCCACGTGACAGTTCAGCACCTTAACCATTACCCCACCTGCTGGTCCTGGTAGTGGCAATTTTTTCTCTCTCTTTTTTTTTT